TGAAGGTTCTTCATTTTTAATTGATCATTACAAGGTACATGTAAAATACTTATTATTTTTCAAGTATTTAACTAATGTTTAATATTTGTTCAGGATTTATTTGGAATTTGTAATCAATCACTGATGTCTGAAATGTCTGTTTTAAGAAACATTCTGGGTGAAAACTCTAGTTTAGAGGAAATAAAACAGCATTTAACATTATATGATGGCAAAGTATTCCCAAATTTTTGTAAGATGTTTCAAGTAGCTGTTACTCTTCCTGTAAGTACAGCGACCTGTGAGAGATCATTTTCCACTATGCGACGTATTAAAACATGGTTGCGTACTTGTATGAATCAAGATAGGTTCAGCAATTTAAGTATTATGAATATAGAAAAAGACATTCCTATCAATAATGAAGACATACTAAATATTTTTGAAAAAACCGAGAGACGTATACAATTACATTAAATATATCTATTTATTTGAGTAAATATTTCATGTTATATAATATTATATAATATATATATAAATGTACTATGTATGATACTAAACTACTTTTAGAATTGAATAAATACAGTCATACAGATACCATTCTTAAAAGTATGCACTTATAAATTATAATTTTAAAAAAAATGTGTTGGGGCTTGAGCCCCCCCTAAATATTTTTCCTATTTGCGCCACTGTCGACAATAATGAAAATGATACTTTAATATTAAACAATATTCAAATTTCAAACATAAATACATGGCCAATAGATGTTGATATAAGACATGGGGAAAATGAAATGCAACAATTGGGCAGTAGATTTTTATTAAATACATCTGTACTAACTCAAGGAATGAGAAACTTTATTCATAACAAAACAATGAATGAAGAAATACAGGAATTACATATACTAATAAAAACATTGCCAGTTTCTACTGCAGAATGTGAACGGGGATTCAGTTTAATGAATATAATATGTTCTGATCTAAGATCTAAATTGACAATAAAAAATAAATCAAATCTTATGTTTATAAATATAAATCGGCCACCTCTTAGTATATGGAACCCAACCAAATATGTTGGAAGCTGGCTGTGGCAGCACAGATCGGCCGATGGTAACTGTGCAAGGAAAGTGGAGCCATTAGAAGAACAAACAGACAAATATCACTGTGGACAATTTTATAAATTATAAATAATTAATTAATTAATTTGCTATAATGGAATCATATATTATTATATATTTAAATAAATTTATAATAATAGATAAATCTAAGTCAATTGGTATACGGGTGGTGTGGGGGCGGAGCCCTACGTATTAAATATTTCTCAATTTAGGTGTATACCCAGAAAAATATTTACGACTACACCACTGCTTCCTAATGCATGTGCGATATTATATTATAATCTAACTTTGGGCGGATCACTATTTTAATATTATAAATATATAATAACACGGTCATCCAATCGCCGTCAGCAAAGAGCGTGTAGTGTGGGCAGTGTGGCCCTCAAAAATATGGTAACAAAAACGCGAGGTTCGTCGCATGAGCAAGGAATGTCACGTAGTAATATAATAATTTGTTTACCTATCGTTTATGTAACCACCAACCAATATTTAAATAATTAAATGTAATATGTTGTATGTAACAATATGTATCGTGATACGCGGGCAGATATTAGGCTGACACCCTTGAATGAAACAAAACGCCCGGGATACATCAGAAGACAGAAGAATATATTGTATGACATTCAACAATTTAGGCAATGGTCGGATCGGCAAACTGCCGAGGAAATCTTGGTGGGCCACTCAAAATATGGGCCAGTTATGAGTGTTAATTGGTAACTTTTTCTTTTTATGATAATGAGAAATGAGTACAAACATGAGTATAGAAATATATAATTTAATGAAACTCAGTGGGCCGATACCATGACTATCCTGTTACACCGTCACCGACTCGACAAAGGACGAAAACGCAACACGACAGTAGTATTATACTAGTATACGACTAAACCATGGTATACAGGATGCGTGGACGGAAAAGGGCGGATAACTTATTGTCATTGTATAAGAACGGCGTGCAAGAACACAGCGATACGGAACGCAAACAAACATAACATATAGATACCACATACAAGCAGATAAAATGTATAAATTCGACAGAAGCACTACAGTGACGCTCAAGGCGGAATGTGCCACAACAAAATACGAATGCACATTGAAATTAAGATATAAATTAATATTAAGATATTTACGGCTAAGGCGGACATATAACAAAAACGGCCATAAACCGTCAGTGTAATTAATAAAATAATACGTGATGCTATAAAAAAAACGGCTGTCGTGACATAGCGACATGGCTGACACTTGGACAAGACGGGACATGACGTGTAAATATATTAATATTATGTAGTTGTCGTTGATAATGACATCTTGGCCTGGTGCCCAGGTGCAACGGCGCGGCGGGTTCGTTTTTGTTCAAATCCGCGATGATGGGTGTATCACCAGTTGAAGTCATATTATGCACTACAATGCCTGCGGCGAAATCACGAATTTCCAACTTGATTTTTGTCGGGCCTGCATATTTCAGCTCATTAAAAACTATTGATGCATCCAGTTGTCGGAGGACAGTGACCGGATCTACATAGTAATATAGTATATCATAATATTATAACTATTATTAAAGAGTTATCATTAAAATGTGCACCTTCGGGCCATACTCTTGTAGCGCTGTCGTCCGACATCTCTACCTCCATAATATTATATACCTACATGGCTACAAATCGATACCCGATATGTGACAATATATATGTGCATTGACCATTGATTATGTTTTTATTTTGAACAATCAACAAACATGTTCTTATATGATTTCATTAACAACGACAATGATTGTAGTTCTTTAGTTGTGATTTTTCCTAATGATTATATTATGTTCAAAGTTTCCTCCCAAAAACATTCTATTAAAAACATTCTTTCTGTTTTAATACCTTTTATAAGTAATTCATAGTTATACCTATGATTTATTTTTATAACATTACATTTTTATATATTATATATAATTGCCAAGTAGTTTAATTTATTTATCCTTTATTAAATTTAAATAATGCAACGTATGAACCGGAAAATATATGTAATTGTTATTTGTTTCTTTCTCAATCGTCTACCATAATTTATAGCTATTGTTTATAATATTTGATACCTAGTTACGTCTAATGTGAATGTATCTTATGTAAATATAATATATCCGATTAATTCATAACGCTGTTTAAAAATTACAATACTAAGAAAAGTAGCTACCTAAGTCCTAAAAAAAATTGTTCTTGTTCATTTACTCGTATCATTGATTATATACAATTTGTATTTAATCAATGTTCGTATTTATTAAAAAATTAAGTTTTTACAAGTACATAGAACTGTTTATATTTTTGTCTATAACAGTAGATTTTAGGAGCCTAATTGGTGCCTTTAATTTTTTATCAAATTATTTCTATTATATATCTAGTATATAATAACATAGGTTGCCGATACTCAACTAAAAAATAAATGTATGTCTTTCCATTTTAGATTAAAGTTAGTTGGGTTATTGTGGTATTTGTGGATTCGAATGATTACAGCGCAGTACGAACAAAGTGACTAGTTCAAAATGACACATATTATCTAAAAAAAATAGTAGTGTACGGTTATGTAAATGGCCACTTGGTCGAGTAACCAGTGCCTACTGACATTTATGATGCCCTAGATCCAGAAACAACTTGGTTTGAGTATGGTATTAAAATAGTTTGTGGCAATAGAACATGGTATGTAAAATAAAATCTATTCAATAGTTTACAAAGTTTATATTTATTATTATTTTAAGTATTATGTATTCATAATGTAGTATGTTTATGGTATCATAATAAATAACCTGTATGTTGTATTTAAAAAAATGTATACACTTATTTAAGAAATTATATTTACTTAAAAATTATTTTATTTTGTTGTCATTTTTTCTAATTTAAGATTTACCGACAACTTGGATAATTTTAAAAAAGGTGGCATATACAAGTTGAAAAAGAATCGGAAAATGAAGAGGTTCAATTGATGACCGAAAGTAAACGTACAACACTTGATGTATCAGACAGTAGCAGTGATGAAGGTAATTAATGACCTCAATCTATCCTAATTATTAGAATTAGTTACTCAAAAACTTAGAAAACTATGGGTTGTAATACTTATAAGTGTTATAACATTAAACATGTTTGAAATTATTGTGTTTAGAATTTTAGTTCCTACAGGGTACCGTAAACCACCTTCATTTACTTCTACATTTAAGTTACCCAGTAATGAAAAGGCTGTACAGAGAATAAAACGCCTTGACTGAAACAATGCACAATACACCAAATGAAACATTCCAATCATTATTATTGGATGAAAAGCGTAAGCAACCCTCTTCAGTCAGTGGCGTACCAATAGGGTGGCATGATGGGCAAGTGCCACGGGCCCAGGGCCCCAGAACGCCGGGGAGGGCCCTTCAAAAAATGTAGCAATTTAATTAAAACAGATTACCGTTATTACAGAATTTTAGTTATTAATAAGTTCTAGTAAAATTAAATCATTTTAAAGTAAAATAAATGTAATAACTAGAAAAATAACTGATACACGCAACATGCTTATAAGTCTAGGATACCGTATTGAAGTCTCAGAAGTCTGTCGATTTCTCGATTCGTTATCAATTATCATTTGTCATATTATACGCTATACAGTCTATTGTACTGCCCAGCTGAAAATTGAATAGCCGTCGTTTTTCTATATTATTTTGTCATTAGTTATTCTGTCATCAGTTGTGAGTTGTCGTCACTCGTTGAACCAAATAATTGATATTGTGATCATGTCAAAAAAAGTACCTAGTGGCTATGAAAAGCGTAAAAAAAATGGAAGAACAAGAAAAAGTATCAAAACTGCCTAAAATAAGTGGTTATTTATAATATTTAAAAAAATAANAAATAAGTGGTTATTTATAATATTTAAAAAAATAAAATTCTTATTATAATGTGTAACAAAAAATGACCATATTATTCATGAAAGTATAATAAATATGCTTTTAATTATTTATTACCTTTTATAGCAGGGGTGGGTCTAGATATAAATTGTGTGAGTAAGTGCATGCTCTTCATATTACAAATTTGAAATCTAAGGCCTAAGGGCCCGCTGGATTTTTTCGCCACAGGCAATCGAAGTTTTAGTTACGCCACTGGTTACGCCACTGGTCCTGAGTAAATAAATTAAGATTAATTAATAGAGAGAATGTAATACGAAGGTCGAAGGGTTACCGCGGTAAACAATGCAGTCCAGTTGTGGAAAACTCCAAACTGTAATCCATCATTGATTTTAATTTTATTCAGTTCAATATTATTTTTTGATAATTATTTTTTTTTTAATTTAAAATCAGATTTGTCACCAAACAGTCAATGTGTGAAGCTGCACACAGTCTTTGAGCGCAGTAAACACAAACGACAAATTGTTCGATCACGATTAATATAAAAAAAACACGCTTACACTATTTTCATCGTTGATGCTTTATTAAAGCAAAATATTTTAGGCTATGCTCGAATTAAAACGACGAGTGTGATGCGTCAATGTCACTGTCATGTGCGTATATATATATATACTGTACAACAGCAATTAAGCTATCGATGAGTAGACGATATGCTATCGGAGATAACCTACATAAAATGTATGTATATATAACATCATTATGTGTTCCGCCGTTGTGAGTTAATAAAGCAGTCGTACTTTTTCAATGCGTGTGATATGTGACCTCGGTCCCCGCAGCCGCAATACGAAACAGTCACCTCAAGCGGCCGCTTAAGTGGACCGGATTAGTCGCGCAGATCTGAGCAATGATGTGGTGGCCGCGAACAACGACGCTTGTTCTATCGGAAGCACGGGGCACCGACACTCACACATTTATTTCAATGATATCGTAAAAATTCATTAACACCATGAGCAACGGCCCTATATCGTTTGAAATAATTTTTACGCTTGCTACAACCCGCCGGGGCCACGTATTGCGGCCACCAGTTATGGTATCGGTATGGCGATAAGTAATTTCAGACAAAACACAGTCACTCAAATATTTGAAATTTGAAAATAAACGATGAAGACAAACCGACAACAATATATTAGTATAACATTCAATCCCTCAATAATATGGAAAGGTTCTTGTTTTACTTCATCATAGTAGGCATACTCATTACTCATACATACAGATCAGCCACAAGCGTACAACCGTGACAACCAAATCATGGTAGGGCCGTTGTCGTCAGTGCCGCAACTAGGATTCTTAGGGCCCCGGACAAAGTCAATATATGGGGCCCCCCAAGGTCTATGTATATAATATTTTTTATAGGTTACTTATAAAAATATAAATAATAATGGTGATTTTTTTTAAAAGCCTAAAAATATAATGTGAAGGCCCACTATACCCATTACCCAGTGACCAGTGTATTGTTATTAAAATATAACTATACACACTTTTAGTGTTATTTTTTTATTATAAATATTAATTAAAGCTTTTGTAATAATATATGGTTCTAAAAAAAAAATATTGCATAGCAAAAAGGTTGCTTGCACCTATATTATATTTAAAAGTTTAATTGTATAAAAAAAATCTTTACCAAATTTAAAATGATAAAAATGAATCACAAACATGTAGTATGTACAAATAATAATAATTAATAAGATATCAATTTATTATACTTATTACTTGATATTAGACATTAATTTAACAAATTTCATAATATATGGTATCTACTACTTATTTATATAGAATAAAATAATTACAAACAATATGGAATGCATTTGTATAACTTAGTTCAAGTCATTGTAAATGTGTCATAAATCATAATACTTATAATAATATGTGCTATAGATATGTGCATAATCATTCAAATTAAGAACGGAAATTCATTTTTCTTGCTTTTAAATTAGCAAAGTTATTTATAACCTTTTCTAAATTTAATTCTGATGTACGAATTTGTTCTACATTAAGTATAGCTATATGCCTATATTAGTCAAACGATCTTGTGTTATAGAATTTCTCAGAAAGTTCTTAATTAGTTTTAATTTAGAAAATGATCTTTCTGCAGAGGCAACTGTAACAGGCAATACTAAGAATAGCATGCAGGCTCCTAGTACTTCAGAGTAACTTATAGAAAAATCATTTTTTAGGATAAATGTTGCAAGTTCACCAATTATTTTTAAATTTTTGTCTATGATCATTTCCTTAAGAGAGACAAGTTGACTGGTAAATTCAGAACTTACATCTGATTGATATTTAATTACAAAGTCATATGATTCTTTAACAATTGCATTTTCCCCAGATTCAATAATTGATTGAGGTCTGAGAAAATCAAAAGTACTACATACGTTCTGCAGGCCTAAGAAACGGTTTTTCAATTGGCTTAATACAGTGTCGACAACGGGAAGGAACACTTTAATACTGAAATTTTCTTCAGTTATTTCCAGTCTTCGGTCTCCATCAACATCATCAAAAATTTTTTTTTGCAAATTGTGGTCGAGTTGCCTTATATTTGGTTGATATTCCCCATTTTAAACATAACAGTTTTGCATCGTCTACAACACTATCATAATTTTCTCTTAATTTTTTAATCGATTGGTATGCGTTTTCCAGTTGATCACGGGCTTTTTGTAAATCTGTATCTTTGTACTGCAAATTAACATAACTATATAAGACCTATATGAAAAATGAATGAACAATCTCGGTTTTTTTTTTGTGTCAACGAACAGTTCGCCGTTCACATGAAAATATTATCACGCTTTGGATGATCAAAATTCAATCTTTCTGCTTTCAAATCGATGAAACAGAAACGTCACTTTAAAAACTATTATCTATCGTTATACTAGTTAAAATTTACTTAAAAGTGATTTTTTTTCTGCCAAAATATAGCTTAACGATGCCGTAAACTATCTGGAACAGATTTGAAGTTGATTCGGAAACACTAAAACCGCAAAATTCAATACAAAGTAAAATTTATGTTCAAACATCACTCTACAGGTGTCAATATAAGACCTCTATGAAAAATAAATGAACAAAGTCGGATTTTTTTGTGTCAACGAACAGTTCGTTTTCTATCGTTATACTAGGTAAAATGTATTTATTAGTGATTTAAAGTAAAGTAATTGTGATTATAAGTAAAATGTAGGAGTGTCTTCCTTGGGCGGGTTCTCCACCCATGTACTTCTGTATTGTAATTTATTATTTTATGCGCATATGCTTGTTGTAACTGCATTGTAAAATATTCTAAATAATAAATAAAATAAAAATAAATTTAATTATTTAGGAATAAATAATAAAAATATTCACTTAGTCAATCACAATTTAATTTGTCTTTAAGTTGAACAGCCAGATAATCATTGCTCAATGAACTTATTTTAAATAAGGTTTTGGGCTTAAAAATATGGAGATTATAGACTACCGTTAACGGTGTATGCATCAACAATATATTTCAAAATTTTAAAGAAGAATAATTGTGGAAAATCTTGTTAGGTATATAATTATAAAAAATGATATTCTTAATCTTTTTCCAACTTAATTTAAAAAATAACAGAGTAAAATAGTGAAATAACTTAGACTTCAATACTCACAAAAAGTGTGATATCGGGACTCTTTTTTCCAATGGCCAAGTTAATGATAATTTTGATTTGTGTGAAGAGGACGTGATACCTGCATGTGTTGTCTGTCTAGCAAGTGCGTAACATAGCAAATTTTATGCTCAGCAGAACACGTGTAGCTCCGTTAGTTTAAAAATTAGTGCGAATTGACCTCTTATAAAATCTAAAGGTAAGATTATTATCTAGTCAACCTCATAGGTTTTTATTATATTTTTATTTTAACGCAAGTTATGAGCATTTTAAAATTGTAAATTTTTTATACATCTTAAAATATTTATAACTCGCGTTAAAATAAAAATATAATAAAAAGCCTATGAGGTTGCCTAGATAATAATCTTACCTTTAGATTTTATTAGAGGTAAATTCACTTTAATTTTTAAATTAACGGAGCTACACGTGTTCTGCCGAGTGTACAATTTGCTATGTTACGCACTTGTAAGACGGAGACAACGCATGCGGGTATCACATCCTCTTAAGATTGGAGTAACATTTTCTGGAGTCTAGAGACATACATACTTTATTAAAATATATTCAATTCAGATGGAAAATTTTCAAAATGTAAGTGTTTATTTAAATGAAAGAACATGTTATACTTATTTAAAAATAGTTTTGATTAAACTATTCATGTTGAGGCCAAATTGAACTAAACTAACATTCATTGTTTTTTTTAAATAAATCACAGTTTTTTTAATATATAAATTCCCTTTATTTTCAATACAAGAATAAGTAGTATAGTTACTATATTATATTACATTTAAGAACATTTATTTATAAACAAAAAAATCACTAATAGCAAAAAAATATTATTAGTGACATTTATAAGCTAGTATAAAATAATATCTTTGGTTCATTGGTTAACATTTAAAAATTTATTTAATCAAGATAATATTTTATTTTATAATTTAACAAAAAAATAGTCCATAAATAAATAAATATGGTGCACAATTGTATTATTTTTTTCATTTACAATGTTTATATAATAAGAAATACAATTTTAAGAAATTAAGTTCCATCAATAAGAACTTTATGAGCAAATTGACTAGGATTTGCCAAAAAATGATTGACTAGTAAAAATGTTCTATGCACAAACAGAACATGTAAATGGCACGGAACTAATTATTCTAATTTGTGTATAGATATAATTATAAATAATATACAATATAAGAGTCAACACTGTAATCAGACAGTAAAGTGTCGTAAGAACATTTAATTCAAGTTTATACATGATGTGTTTTGTTTATTGGCTGATCAGTCTTTGTAGCATTACTTTCTTTGTTAGGGTAAATTTTGTTTACGATAGCTTGATCAATATTCTGAGACACTCCATATGGTCGTAAATGATAAATTAGATATTCAAGAACATACATATTATTAGGATTAACATAATGGAATGAAATAGCAGTATCTGAACAACAATCCATACCCTAAAAATAACGAAAAAAAAAACATATTACTGATTAGAGTTTAGTAAACTATTAATGTTTTTGTTTTTACCTCTACTATTGGATAATAAATATATTTCCAGTACCAAAAACTTGGATCTGTATGCCCAGGTATAAGATGGTGTTCTGGAATAAATGGAAAGAAACGTCCTCGACCTAAACTATCTCGAGAATCCTCAGCTTTTACTCCAACTAATTGAAGACAGATACCTAAAAAAAAACCTAATTTTAAATATACTTGTAACACTTGTACTAAAGATTTTATAGAATACATGACAATATTAATATAATATATATTATATTTACTAATTATTTATGCATAGAGTACATTTTTTGCAATATTTTAAGTTGTTTCAGAATATTTATTTTTTCTTAAACTTGTATGTTTTTAATTTAATACTACTGAAGAGATTATAAAAATCAAATAGTATAATGATGATAGACCTTCATATTAATTCTAGTATAAAATGTTTTTTAAGTGGAGCTAATGAATATGAAATATCTAATTATTTACTAAATTTTCTCATTTTCTAGAATTTTATGTTTATAAATCTAATAAACCTCCACTATGAAAAAAATGCACTATATAATAACAATTTTCAAATATTTAAATGTTTCAATAATAAATGGTATTTTCCTGTTATAAACGACTACTTTATTTTGTGAAACCTCACAATCTAGTCTTAGACATTGTTAAGACTATTGAAGTTACGAAAATTGAGATATCCAGGTGGTAGTAGTAATAATAACCGTAGTTTTGTGTAACAGGAAAGTACTTAAAAATAAACTAACCAATTTCTACATCTTCGGCTCCACCATTATCTTGCCGGCATTGTTTATGAGGTATAGCTTTTTCAACGAACCTCTTAACCGATTCTTTGCTTAACAAATAACCTAAATAGATTTACATAATTTTAATTATATAGATATTATAAATGGTTTTTATTTTGAAAATTTTCAATAAATATAGGTACATAAAATGAATTTTTTAATTTGCTACAATTGCAATACTTAAAATTAATATTTTAAATAGTATCTATTATTAATCTACAAAATATATTTGGTGTCTATTAATAAATTACCTGCACCGCCACTCATATATCCCTGTTTAACATAGGGTTTAAACCTACAACCTAAGAAGATTGGATCTTTTGGGTTAAATGAAGTTAGCATATACCTCAAGTTCTCTACTACAACATACCTGAAATAATTATACAAAAATAAGTATTAAAATTTTTTTTATACATGGCATTGATTTGTTGTTTATTTTTGAAACGGAAATCATTATTGTATAATTAATTAAAATATTATTACACAATAAATAAAATGATTGATCTTCTGTTAGATCAGGTTAGCTACCTAAAAATCATAGCACTGATACATGAATTTGAGCTACTGGAAGGGGAGGGGTGTGCTAAATTTAGTATTTGAAAGCAGAAACAAATCTTATATAATTAGTATATAAATTTGTTAAATAAAAATATTATCACAAAATTACTTTTTTTTTTTATTAAATAAAAGAGTATTTCCAAACTGTAATATTTATATATAATATAATAAGTAAATTTGATGGCTACAAAGATACATAACTTGAATGGCATGAGGAGAGAGGCCCACCAGTGTGGAAATCCTCTAACTTGGGGTAGAGAAGTTTTTTTTTAAAATTAATTAATACAGGTTGGGTTTCAGTATATCTCGATACCAGTTTCCTTTTAATCGACATGGGAGGTTGCTTGGCAAGAATAATTCACTAGCTAACTAAAAAATCAATAGATTTGTGTGGTTTGTTGTTTTGGTATAGAATTTTTTGTAGTAATTTTTAACTGTTATGAAGACACACAATTACTTAATAGTTAATTTATAAAACATTTAATACATGAATAATAATTAAAAACTATTCCATTAACAAATTACTATTAATATTTAATTATTATATATATCTACATAGAATATTAATTATTAATTGTTGTCAGTTGTATTATATTCATTTATATAGGATTATACTTATAATAATCAAATGCATAATTAATAACATATCAAAGTGTAATAATATTCAAAAATACCTATGCATTATGTTTTGTATAAATATTAAATATAGGCATGAAGAGAAAAAAAAATTAATAATCTGTATGATTCAAAATATAGATAGTCATATTTAAATTACATTTCTTTAAAGATTGATATTTTTTATTATTGATTTATTAACAAAATATGAACAAAGTTCTTAAATATCCATTATATATTTTTATATTTGAACTGTATGAAACAAATTTGTGTCTTATCAGATTTTAATTAAGCTTCCTAAGAAATAATTAAATGTATGAAGGTCTGAAAGTTGATTGAGATAAATGTAATCAACTTTTTATCAGCATAATAAATTAATGTTACAATTTTTCATTTAAAAATATAAAATATAATTTTACATACGTGTCATCATCAGCTTTCAATACATAGTCATAATCATTATAATGTTTATGTATGTACTTAAATGCTTCTTTAGTTTTACCCCAAAGAGAATCTCTTCCCTCTTTAACTGGTAATGCAATAGAAGGTAAACTTTTATCTAAATTATAAAATTGAGTTAATTACATTAAAATTAGTAGTATGGAGCTGGTACATACCTTCAGCAGTGCTCATAAAAAGTAATGTATTGCAACGTTTACCCCATGTAGCTTTTACATGTCTTGCTTTTTTAATGTGATTACTGGGACTAGTCATGATCCAACAAAGAACTCTAATTCGTTTTTTAAGTTCTTGAGCTACGAGATCTTCGTCTATAATTGAATAAAATAATAAAATATAGACATCCCGGTTTAAGTAGAATGGTTTAATGCTATATATTTATGCTACATTTTATAGGTGTATCTCAGTTTTAGAGTACATTGATTCACGAACAAATTGGTGTCAGTGTACCTAGCTTTGTGAAATAATTTGACCTAAGCTCTGCAGTATCAACGGTAAGGGTCTGTGAAGTGGGTTGAATGCGCAAACAAGAATTAGACTTTGTTTTCATTCTGAACAGAGTAAAGATGGGCAATCACAAGTCACGGATTGGATTTAGCACTTGTATATTTTTTTAACGTGGTTTTATTAAATAAAAGAGTATTTCCAAACTGTAATATTTATATATAACACAATAAGTAAATGTGATGGCTACAAAGATACATAACTTGAATGGCATGAGGAGAGAGGCCCTACAGTGTGGAAATCCTCTAACTTAAGGAAGAGAAGTTTTTTTTTTAAATTAATTAATACATGTCGGGTTTCAAGAGATTTCGACACTTGTGTCTTTTTAATTGGGGGGCTGCTTGGCATGAGTTTCACTGGATAAGTTAGAAATCAATGGACTTATGTATTTTTTTAATGTGCCTTCAACTAATTACCCTCTAAACTTTTCTGATATCTCTAAAAACAACCTCTGAGGTGTTTGTCAAAATCCATTTAGTAGGTCATTCAGTCAGGATAAGTTATTTTTATATATTTAGATAAATTTGTTTAATTTAATGAAACAGTATCAAATTAATATTTTTAATGAAAATTTAAGTCATTTTATTGCAATTGTATTTGAGTAACAAGTAAAGGGACATATTTTTTTTAATCTCCAAGTAATGAACAAAGTAACTTATTTACTATTTAAAAATAAATTAGACAACACTTTGTAAGGCGCTGTTTTAAGAAGACGCTACACCCGTATGTGTAGTTTCCGTCTTACAAATGTATAAAATAAATATTATATTAATAGAAAAACTGTTTAGTACAAGATAGAACCACTCAGTGTGTAATTCTAGTATAGACACCAAATTTTCGCCATGAATAGAGAAGAACTTTGACTGTGTTGTAGCGTTTTTATTTGTTCAATAAGACCAATCTACCAAAAGTTATTTCAGTTTAGAAAACTTGAAAATATCAAATTTTTAAGTATTTTAACTTTTTCTTATTAATGATATCAAACAAATAAAAAAGCTACAATATAGAAAATATTATCTACTATATTGTTTAAGCTTTTGGTGTCTCTATTAAGACTAAATACTGAGTGGTTCTATCCTGCACAAAACAGTTTTTCCTATTTTGTACATTTGTAAAACAGAGACAACACAAACGAGTGTAACGTACTCTTAATAAATTATTTATTTTTAATTTTCATATAATTATTACAATGTTTTTAAAATATTTAAAATACTCTAGATTTCCTACCCCCTTTCAACTCGTCAGTTCTTAGCTTTTGTGAAACCTTTTTTTTGCTTTTACAAGAAAATATATGGTCACATCAAACAAAACAATAATAGTCTAAAAATTAAAATAAGTTGAACTTACGAAAGTGCAATGTCTCATTTTCTTCGTGGCCTTTCATAATGAGTGAATCATTGAATGAACCTTCATTGTCATGTCCATGTGAATGACGATCACTGTATCTAACCGAATCATATGAAAACTTCGATGGAAATATTTTGATATCCTTAAAATGGCATTCAGTAATGGTTACTGTAGTATAAGCAAAAAATATTCCAAATATTACACCGATACAAAAAGTTAGAATGGCATTTTTTTTAATGCCTGGTCGGGTAAAATATAAGATATCTGAAAAAAATTACTTTAATTAATATTGTTAATGCATCAATATTCAATACTCCTTAATATTTACAATTGTAACCTAGTACCATTAATTTTTACTCATTTGAATACTTATGTTTTTTAATCTACATCCTGACAATTACAATAGAGTAAAACAATACATAGTTATAATTCTTATTATTATTTGAAGTATCTATAAATGAACAATAACTATTAAAAAAAATATGAAAAAAACTGAAATATTGAATTTAACAGAAATAAGTATAGAAACTACAAATATGAATGTTCCATACCTAATGTTAATGTGTCTATGTGTTGCTAAATAAAAATGATATATTAATAGAAAAATGAAGATAAATTGTTTCGAAACAACATTTTTTCATGAAACTGACCTCTCTTTCCTGATGGATAAACTCTTCTAATTTTATGAATTTTTTCTAGATGATTGGATCTTGCAAACATATTGGTATATACTATGTTTCAGAATGTCTTAATAAAATCAATCAAAATTTAAGAATCATCAGTTCACTTCATTGTACTTAGCTAATACCAGAATTTAATTTCAACAAACTCATCATAAAATTTGGTTGATGGTAGCTTAGCAAGAAATAAAATTAAAGAGGGGTTACATTATATTGCCTTCCTAAGCAAAAATCCAACACAAATTTTTTAAATTCAATTATTTGCATTTTTTTTTTCATAGAATTGTAAACACATAACAAAAGGATAAGACTAATCTCAAGAATATGCAAAATACCATTTATTTCAAAAATAATTCCCAATCGAATAACAAAATATGTTGCTTTATGATGTAAATTATTTATCTTTAATCAATGGTATTATACTTATAATCACATAAAAAACTTCAACCAAAAACCAAAAATATATAGAAAATAACAAAAATTAATAAAATATGTTTTTTTGGTATGTACCCATTGATATTTTAATTCTAGCATACTAGTTACATACTAATTTACTAATTTTTCTTTGGTTAGTCATAAATTGTTATCAAGCACTTTTCTATTCAGTATTCATACTAAACAGTTAACGAGTGAACTGTACAGATAAATTTTAATATGGCAATAGGTAGTAGGTAAATATACAAATTAATAAATAATAGCCAGCAGGTACATTATATATATTTTAAGTTTAAATCTAATAAATAAATAGACAAATAAGTAATATTTTTTAATAATAATAGGCATGTTATAGTCAATTGAAAAATAAAAAAAACGTTAAACAAATCATTTTTTCATTTAAAATTCAATGGGTTAATAAAATAATTATTAAATCATTAAGTTTAACTATAGAGTAATATAGACAATAATATAGTCACATACAAACATTTTATTTAAAATAGTATGGTTTAACTCTAACTACCTATACAAATTCATAATTCAGAGTACTTCAATGTATAACTATCAAATTTTGGAAGAATAGTTCATTACAAGTTGATTCCGGATTTATATTCTCATAAATTACCCTAAAAATATGATGTTATTATTCTCTACAAAACCAACAAATATTCTTATATTTTCTAAAAAATTAGAAAAATATACAAAAATAATCAATAAACTTCATTATATGCTTAAATATGTAGTTTTTTTAAATTATTTTTTACAATAGTCAAGTAAGTATATACTTCCATAATGAAATAATTGCACTATAATATAATAACAATTAAAATAGTGTCTTTGGTGTTGAATAGCTCCATCTAATATTTTAAAAGGTAAATCAATTTAATGAATTTTTATATATAATTTATTTTAAAAACTTAAAAACACACAATCGCAAAATCAAAATCTATTTGGATTTTGGATAAACAAATATGTTGTTATCAGTATACGTTAGATAAACTAATACATAATGACATTGCAACGACCATATTATAATAACTAATAAGGCCATGACAGCGACATAGTAGCACAATCACAACATGGTTTTTTGTATTAAAATTAATAACAATAATTTTAAAAATAAAATAAACTAGTATTTTTCTCATAATTTACAAAACATTCCAAAATATGATACATAATTTAAATATTTCCTATTCCATCAAATATTCTCAAATATGCGAAAAAAAAAAAACTTTTTCCTATGAACTTTGTGTCTAATGAATCGTCTACACTTCTTACTCTCATAAGACTGCATAAACTCAATAACGATTCGCATATAAATCCGGTTTTTTCTTATAAGTATTTTAAGTTTATGTTAGCAGAGTAGTACAAAACATTATTCAGGGTATCCCTGGTACCACTCATCTAAAATTGAAATGCATAGGTATAAGTTATAATTAACAAAATTTGTTTTGTTTCTAACATTTGATATTTGTTGATCAAAATACTCCAAATAATATTGTGCTTAGAAATAAGAAATAAAAAAATGTAGGTAATATCCGGGTTATCTCAACTACCGGAGTTGTTAAATAAAAAAGTATATTATATTTTTCACATTTAATTAACTTTCAGTTATTATATTTATTAGATAGGTATTGCAGGTATTTATTATTTAAAAATAATTAGTTATAAGAATAAAAAGATTTTTATATTTAAAACAAAAATTAAATAGTTAAAATCAAAATTCAAAGTTATTAATTCAATACTATAAGTGAATTGCATATTATCTGGTTACACGAGGTAGTCTTTGAAATATTTGGGTAGTCGAGATAACCTGGAAGTAACAAAAATATAATGTCATTCAACAACTTAAAAAAGTAAAATGTTAAAAATGAAAAACATAATTTTTTTCTGACATGTTTTGGAATGACATAAAATTATATAAAAAAAGTATTTTCAGAAAAGTTGTAACTTTTTGAAATAATGACTGTAGACACCTAAATAGATAACCCTGTTTGAGTAAACCATAATATCAGGTAATTATATTGATTTTTAAATTTTACATAATTTTTTCTTAGAATGCATATAGTGTAAGCAACAAGCTGTTTACTCAGAATACTTATCTTTAAGTTACAACTAACACATTAGGAAATGTTTATAAATCATAAATAGATAGGTATGTATATCGCATATATATATATTTGTATGTGTGTGTATGCTTTTATGGTGAGTCATAAACTGTTTTAGTTAGTACAAACAATTTTTTTCATAAATACTTCTAAATAAATTTTTTACTTAAAATACATCTTCAATAACTACACTCTGAGATGTACATTATTTTGTGAAGATAACTTAATTGATAGTATTACCTATAATTATATTGTATACCACCTGAGTAGATAAATTTCTAAAAAATGTTATAATTTGGAAGTGTAATGAATGCATTTATTGCATTTGTGCAGATATTATATTACTTTTTGTATATTTTAACTTGTTAAGTAAAATTGATAAGAATTTAATAATTTAAGATTCTGAGAGGAGAGATGAATGTATTTATTTTACAATGATCTGTTTTTAACACCGCCACACCGGAGAGTCAAATTCAATTTTTATGAGCGTTTGGATTTATAAGTTTGCAGAATTTTATTAACATTGGATATTCACTTGATTTCTCAAATAGCGATCATCTTATTTTGTTGTAATTCAAAAATGAATAACTGCAGATATTTGAAATGTAGATCATATGTTTATATTAACAATTCATACACTTGATAAAATTTTCAAAATATTTTGACTTGCTTTAAGCTGTTCACGGACATTTTCAATTTTTTAGTTTCTTTTTCTGTAATTATCAATAAAAGGGTCAAAAACTGGGTCAAAAAGCTTGAAAATTTAATACAAGGCTACTAATATATTGTAGCAATTGAAATATTAAAAATACATAAGCATGTTTTTTTTTATGAGCATTTAATGTTCAAATTTTTATGACATTTATTAAATTTGAACATGACAAATTATTTTGTAGGTACATTTTTTTTACACTTCGGCTTTTATAACTATAAGTTAAAAATTTAAAACATGGTTTCACGTAAATAGGTTATTTTGTAACAACTGTAATCAAAAAATCTAAAGGTATAAAGCAGTTTTTTTTTATTAAAGTTATTGTGTTATAGCTTATATCAATGTACAATTAGAATTTTTGTTTGTGCCCCTCTCCTATAAGACATTTCTAAATACAAATCTGACTATACCCATTACTTAAATTACATATTTTAAAATATAATAAAATAACATTTTGAACTATGAATTTATTAAATAAAGATATACATAACAAATGAGTCAAAAAGATCTGTAGAGTTGCATTTTGTTTAGGCTAAAAATTGAAACCCACTTATTATATAGATACACTAAATAACCTCCTAAAATTGTTTTCTAAAAGTATCTCGAAAAGTATAATATTCTAAACATAATATTGTCATTTGTTTAGCAATAAATAGATGACTTGCATTTCTGAGCTAGTAAAATAAAAATTGTTGTATTCGATTTTCTTTTTTAACAAACTGTTAGGTATCTAAAATTACATAATTTTGTAGTTAACTATGTTTTAGTATGCTAAATTAATCAAACAAGTTAGGCAGGTACTAAAAATATGTTATACATAAAAAATATTTTCTTACCACTTTTCATTGTAGTTAATTTGAAATAACTTCTTCGTTAATTCTGAAAAAAATATTTATTCACAGTATTAATTATTTATTTTGTTTTAAAAAATATATGAAATCATAAGTTTAAGATAAGTAATTTAATATGCATATAATTATCAAATAAAAATATATTACTAATAACATTGTGTGTATAGTTAATTTTAGTCAGTTGCATTCAAGATCAACTATTGGTTCTAGGCTTTTCTATCATTTTCGTATAAATACCCGAGAAACCAAGAAGTCTTTTGAATTAAAATTGAATAAACTATAATATACAATAACCAAATCAATAATAGTTTAACTGTATAACTATGATACAAGTACTAATATAATACTTACATTAACAGTCATGAACCCAATTGAAGACTTCTTGTTCGTGATCATAATTTTTTAATAAATATTTTATCTTATTGAGATGTAAACTGTCTAACTGAATAATTCATTATATTCAACAAGATATTTAATAAATACTTGTTAAAAATAGTTACAGGGGATATCACAAAAGACCACTTAAAATAAAATAAAACTAGGAGGAGAACCTACCTACATATTCAAATGCTTTGACCTTTATTAACTTACACATGCCTGCCTACTAAATGTTAGTTGTAAGTATTTTAGTTTGTCACAACTATAATAAATAAAAATGATTAATAAAGGGTACCTAAATTCTTGTGAAGATTAGATATCATAATGATGAAAGTAGGTACCAAGGTAATTTAAGTTTTAAGTGGAGTTGTAAGCAAACGTACTATAAAGTTACTATAGATAAAAAAAAAACACAACATGATATAAAAATTAAATCCTAACCTAACTAAGGCCCTATATAAGTAAATCATTTTCACAAAAAAAAATTATTGTTTAACTCTATTAAAGACATTTTTCTTTAATTTGGAATTGATGGACTTATAAATTATACAATTAAATAGTAAATAAAAAGATTCTTTCAGAAGCAAATTTTTTTTTATAACTTGATTGTATACCTACTTTATAATTGTGTCTTTTATGTTCTCTTATAATCTTAAGTAATTGGTAATAATAATTATTTGCCATTTAAATAGGCAGTTCAGTATTTATTTAGATATATAATAATGTTTATGATTTAATCATTCTTTATTGGATAATAATTACCTACCTAAAATTAATATTTTTTTAAATATGAAATTATTTATAACTTAGTACGATAACTTAGTATGATATTAGTTTTTAAATAGTACAACTTAGTAATAGTTAATAGTCAACTTTTTTTAAAACTAAATTTATAATAGTAACATATAACAAAAATATAATCTAATAACAATCTATCACTGGTAATTTTTTTTAAAGTCTAGGTGCATACTCTTTATTGTTTTGGTAAAGACTATAATATTTAAAACAGTAGGTATCCAACGATTATTTGTAGACATTTAAAATAGTAGGTCTTATATCCAAAATCTGAATAGCAAATATTAATACCTACTGTTTGTAATATTTAAATCAGGTTAACAGGTTACCTACTTATGGTTACAGATGTCAGATACTTTGATGGTATATCATGAGAATACCTTTTCTATGTGGATAGTCGAATCTACTCTATGTGGACAGTTTAGCTCTCATTAGCTCTGTCATTAGTGCCTATCAATACTAAACAACAGTGCATTGTTGTAGGTACGGGTGAAAGGTTTAAAAGTTAGACAGTTAGATAGATCACTCAAGAAATTTTTCAGAAGGATATAAACAATTATGCATTTAATGCACTCACGCCACAAATCAAATACTTTTGCACACATTGAACATAGTGAATCAAAACCGACAAACAAGCATGTCATATGCCATTTTGATGTGATAATAAAAATATGCCTACCTACTAAAATTAGAATATAACATCCAGCAGAAGAGTTTGAAATAAAAAAGACATCACAGGAAACGCAAGTGCCCAAGGTACGTACCATAGTAGTATCATAGATTGTGTTCTATGGTAGAATCGCAGACAGCGAGCAAACCATCGGTCGGTCTGTCGGCGAATGGGGACCGCTCACATCCATCCTATTTCACCATTCATTCCGGACGTCGACAAAGTGTGACTGGCGTAGGGTTGAAGACCAACGGCTTGGAGGCGTTCGTCGGCGATTTCCGCTCGTCGCAAATGACGTGCATGACGCTCTCGACAACGGGAGACGACTGAACCATATATGTATGGTACAATTTAAGAGAACCAACGGCGTCGATATTATCGAGTAATGACTAACGAGATGAGGAACCGAACTGAATATCACGTGCCGTGAGGTCGAACGTGCTTAGCCGTAGTGCTTTACGTTACGATATCGGCATATCGCGTTCAACGAGTCTCGTCACTCGTCAGTCGTCCGTCCGGTCGCCGAGCTAGCAATGCTTGTAGTAATTGGTTACGATAACTTTTTTAGTATTTATTTGTTGCATCGTTGTGACATCATTATCTTTTAGCTATGATATACGGCCGAGCAATTATACCATATTAATATTTTATACCTACGCACGGGAAGCGCATAAATATTTTTTCGTCGTGACAGCAACGCCGCCGCCGAAAACGATAACGTTATTCGTTATCGGCAATATTATAGAAACGTTACAAAGATCGGTTTGCCGACAGCGCCCCAACAACTACAGCACAAGCGTCGAGCACTGTGCAATTGCGTGATAAATTATCATGTACAAGTGTACTTAATATTTGAGAGTTGGTATAATAATATTATCGACAATCGACCTCGAGTATTCGGCTTTTCGTCTGTTTCTCAACCAGGACACCGAACGCGATGCAATAATAATAACATATTAACTATTATAACTCATCCAACACGGTTGGCGGGCACCGGGAGAACAGCAATTACAATAAAATTGTTTTTACATTTATTATTATTATTATATTGTTATAATCGTAAAACGTTTGAGTACTACGATATTTTAGAATATTATGTTTTATAGTTTTGTGATTCATAGCCTCATAGAAAAATATGAATAATCTGACAATGATAAGTTGGATCGCTTGTTAATTACTTATTTACTTATTTGTAATAATATGTGCATTGGTTAATGGGTTTATTGCATGATTTTCGTACAGCCGAAGGAGATAACTAACAGTCTAACAGTTTTTTATTACCCACGACAGTCGCCTCCTGCAGTCCAACGGCTCATGCCACATCACTATGTCATTATGTCAGTACTTCACTACCGCAATCAAAAAAATAATCCTTATATCCTATGCAGTAAGAGTATAGACATATTTCTTATGATGTCTATGATTCTATATTATACCACGAACTACTACAGTAACAAACAAATAACAATAGTACTCATAGTACACCAGTAGAACTAATTAAGATATGTTAATTCGCAATCAGTAGCCAATGTACATTGGGTATTTAATTCTGTGGTTTCAAACATAGAATATAGGGAAAAGCATAGGCGGAGATCGGGGGGGGGGGCTTACGGGGGCTTAGTCCCCCCAAAATAAATGATTTGAAGTTAAAGACCCCCTAAGAATATTAAACATACAATACCGTAATTTTGTATAGTTTGCAGAACTTTTTTCATTATTTTATATTCTTATATCCACAATTATATAAGTGTACCTAGTACATTACATACACACTATTTACCAATTTATTATTTACGGTAACATACCGAACAATTAAGTCACAATTCACAATAATATTATATTGTGTTTATATACCTAATATTGTAGTATTGTACATATTTTGTACCAATTGGCCATCTATATTGAATAACATATTATACCATTCTATTTTAGATGGGAAAATATTATTTCTTTTCCTAATTTTTGTTAATTCTCGAGAAGCGATAGCTATTATAGGACTATCGCTATTATAGCTGTATTAAACCTATCGTAAAGTTTATCGCGATGAATGAATCGTTAACCGTATTGACCATTTTATACTAAATTATATTTTACTTATTGTTTGATGTTCTTGAGAATACATTTCTTTTGAGATTGTGATTTAGATTTTTAATAAATAATTAAGTTCAAATATGTTTGAAATATTTAAATTTAAATCGTTTATTAATTATTCTTTTTTTTTATGTTTGTAACTATTTAAGTTGTTATGATAACGAGTCAACGAGAACAATTTTTTATGAGTGATCTAATGTAAAAATGAGTTTGTTGGAGGTGTGGGGACAATGCCCCCGCGGGTCTGTTTGTCATAAAATATTAGAGCCCCTCTTAAAATTTCACAAGATCTCCGCCTATGGGGAAAAGGTACTATGACGTAGGTATCTATCTTTATCTGTAATGCCATGACCACGGACTATTATATCTTAGTCGGTGGTTGACTAAATAAATTGTTATTATTTATTTAGTTATGCATAATAGCTGTATATATATATATTAAGTGTTTGTGTATGTTATCAGTCTTGTAAAGTATTCAAATCCTTTTTTATTATTCTAATACTATTTTTAATTTTATATACTTTTTGAAAAAGTTTTCAAACAAGTATTTTGAATAATTTATTTCGTTTATTTAAAAAATATTTTTTTTGAACTCGAAAAATACTTTATAGACATAAGGTATTAGAGACAAAACAAATTGTTCTATTAAAAATTGGGCACATTACATAACAACAATAGTTATTCTCTTTGAATAAAATTAATATGATTGACCCGCTTTAATTTCCAACCATTTTTCCAACCATTCCAAAACTTGTCATATAAGCGGGGAAAAAATATAATATTCTAATGGTATTCAAATATGTATTGGTAATATGTATATGTATATATTTTTTAATGTACTCCGAATACAAAATAAAAGTATTCTTTACAAGACTGTATGTATATAGTACTATGTACTATACTTATATCCACAGATCTATAAGACTATAACTATACCTATAGTATATCATAATATTGCGTAATAAATTTACTTTATCATGATTCATGGCAATATTGTATAATAGCATGTACTAACTACCAAATGGCAAATACTTTAAATCATTTAAAGTATTTGACACTACTCAGTACTGACGAGTCACGGCCTTAAACTAGTGGTGTGCAACCATTTTTGATCCACGACCCCCAAAATTATTTATTTTGGTAATACGACCCCCCTTCCTACTAACATTATGTAAGTGTATAATAAATATTTACTTCATAGTCTTAACGTATGCAAACATATTATTATTCATATAAATTAAAACGTTAGTTTTAATATTTCTTTAATTTAATTAATCCAAAACATGAAAAAAAAATACAAAATGTTGTATAAAATCTAAAATTATTAATCTAACATGATTGATTCTATATTCTATGTTTGGTTTGATATTTGACACTACTACTCTTAGATCAGCTTCAACATTTAATCTGGAGCGATATTTGTTTTTAATTATCGCAATTCGCAATCGACACACACATTGACCAGGGAATAGTAATATATAACTTTTTCATTTGGTGTAAAATTATTGGCGACCCCCTAATACAATTTTACGACCCCCTTAGGGGTCACGACCCCAGGTTGCGCCACACTGCCTTAGATTATTAGGTACTATTAATAGGTAGTCAAAAACAGTGGTGTTCTAGAGGGAATACGGCGTATATTATCCATTTACCATTTGTTGATATGGTACCGTATATAGGTATCTCATAAAATGAATATAAATATTATTACAAATACAGTCGTTGGTATACGCTCGTATAGTCGCATACCTAAACATTTTAAATATTTATTATTTTATGTTGTGGCTTATTGCCAGTTTTTTTTTTTGTTACCACGTATATCATGTAATAAGTTTCAAAAAAAAAAACCAAAGTTTTTTCAAAACAATATTATTTGATTACATTTTATAATTTGAACATATTCCTTTAATTTAATGTTAAATTTTGTGTTTCTGATTTAATCTTTTATGATGTTGCTTATTGCATGTTTTTTGCTAGGGCGTGTACCTAAGAATTTTTGCAACGCAATTTTCAAAAACTTCAAAATGTTGCATTATATATTCGTATGCAAGTAGTACCTAGGTATCTTCTGCATATTATTACAATATTACCTATATGGTGCATAATATTATGAACATAGATTTTTGCATGATTTTTCATATACGTAGGTATTAAATCATCCGTTTTAATTGATATTTACTAGACCCAACTTAATAAACATAGATATTAAATTATCTTTTTATTTTTTTTTAACTTTTTGATAATTGACAAATTAAAATTAAATAGTTTCTTATATAACCTATACGGCTATACTTACAATACCTATGGACCGTACGTCCATAGTCCATACCCTGGCTTACGTATAGCAATGGCAACCTCCAACCAGTCCAACCGATCTCTAGTCTCCAGTTCTCCACTGTACGTTTTAGTCATGATTGTGTTAAATGAATAAATTAACGTAATCTTTAAAACGATTGACCAATAATTACCTGTTATAATTTTTAATTACATTTCGTGTTTACGACAAAAAACTTGGAAAGCGACTGCTATGGAAAAATAAAAACGAACAACGGAAAATCCAAAAATTACCTTGACCTTTATTGTAAACCCATTAAATATGGATAAACAACGATAACCCTGTGGCATGTTCAACTAATTTTACTTGAGAAGCAAAGATTTTAACATACAACCAGTTTACTAATCTGCAGCATTGTCCTTAGGTAGGTAATATGTAATCGTTAATGCAATTAATTATGCAAATAATGCAATAGTTTAAAATACGCATTACTTTAATACTCAATGGTAAATTACTGCAGCATTAGATTAAGTTAATTCGAATCTAAAGAGTTAAATTATGTGGGTAGTAGCCAGTAGGTACCTACTTATAATACATTAATACGTGCTTATAGTGCTTATACCTATACCAACATCGGCAACATCAAATGCCTCATTTATAAATGTATAAAAGAATATTAAAGCCTTACATTAAATGTTCAATCTTTTTGTCCAGGCATATTAATTGTCGTCATGGCGTCATGATTTATAGAAAAGAAACTTAATACATTTGAAAATATCAAATGCATAGGAATTACCTATAAAATATAAATAGCCTATAATATTATAGCACAAGTTAAATCATCTTCATTTAGCCTGTGATTATTACATAGATATTTAAATACCTATCTTCAAAGTTCAAGTGGACTAATGAATATCCAATGTTCTAAAAATTTCAACTTCAAACGATCATAAAAAATTAATGGGACTTTCCTGTCAACTTTTTTCATATTATAGAAAAACGAATGAGAAATCTTGTATTCAATTTTCAAATCTTAAAAAAGAACATTTTTATGAATTTATAACTCAAAACAGTTTTTAAATAGGTACCTATTCGTAGTTACAATGAATTTTATTAAAATCCAAACTTTTAACGCTTATAAAAAAATATTTACTCTGACAATGTATTTTTGATAATTTTTAATTTGTATATGAACAAGTTAGCTATATGATGATTGGTGAGGAACCTAGTACCTATTACATTTTCCAACTGTTTGAACTTTGAAGAAGAAAACAAAAAAAATGAAAATTTCATGTGTACCTATGAGTATTTAATAACTTAAAAAGAGTCAAAATATTTTGGAAATTTTATTTTGCATGAAAAATTGTCATAGGTACATATTAACATTTGGGTAAAATATTTGAAGTTACTACAATTATTTATTTTTGTGTTACCTAGTTAAGTTGTAAAAATTTTATTACAATTTTGTCCAAAACTATAGTCTTACCAAGAAATTTCGGTTTTCTTTTATTTCATTTATTTTTATTTTTCAGGCCTTCTTGAAAATTAATGTGAATTTTTATTCGGCTCTTAAAACTACCAACTAAAGATTTAATTTACTATTTGAAACCACCCAAAAGTTGATAATTGAAAAAAAATATTAATTAATTTTCGTGTACGGTGTAGGTTACCTAGTAGTTACACAAAAAAACCAATCATCTTAGTATGATTGATAAATCGCTCATCTCAGGATCTAAAACTTATTAATTATGACACATGAGGAATCTTATTATAAGTACATTTAAATTTCAAAATTTTGATGAAGTTCATAACTATTAAAATATTTTTACTTATTGACATAAATTTACATATAAATTGGAAATAAACATTAATAAGTCTAAAATATGAAGTATCTATAAATAGTATGAATAGGGCCAAAATATTTTGAAAATCAAATCAGCTAGGTGTAGGTATATAGTTAGGCAATGGTAGAACGAAAATATGGTAAAAATCGCAAGTTTACAGTTTTTTCTAATACATTTTAAAAAATAAACAATTTCGATTTTTCTGTATTAGTTGAGTGTAAAAATTTTTGTTTTTTTCCATTAGCTACTAGCCTACTATTAAAAAGTACTGAGCAATTTTTTACTTTTGATCAGTACCATTAGTACCAACTACCAAGTACCAACTAGATCCAAATGACCAAATCCAACCTGCAACCAAAAACTACACACAAATAAGTGTAAGATTTATTTTTTTATTAATTTTTTTCATTATGATTACGCATTTTACACAATTTATTCTTTTTGGCGCAATAGGTAACTATCTATATGACTATATATGAATATGTGTCATGTGATGATTGAAATAAAGTTTACGTTTACATACATTATTCAGATGAGAAGCCACCCATTTGTGATACCTGATATTTTGTAGTTATTTATTTTTTTCGGTATTGTCAAAAACTGGTTCTCCGTTAACATTTTCATTTTCCATAGTTCTGACAATTTTCAATTCTCACTTCTTAAAAGTACACTCTTGTTTACAAAATTTAATAATAAAAAAAAAAATGTATAGGTACAATGTAAATTCAATTTTCTATCAGAAACCATCCTCAAGTTGAAAATTGTTTGAAGTAGTAGAAATAAGTAAAATATGTGGACAAGGTACAAGAAACAAATTAAAAAGCACATCCATCATTGTAATATACCTGATTCATTCATAGCTCCGCTTAGAATCTAAAAGTTCTGGGGATCCAATCCAATCATCACCCCCTTCCCTCCAAAAAAAAAAAAAACTATGCCATTGGATTATCCCAGTCACCAACTATATGATGTCCCCAATTTAAATATAGTATGAGAACGTAGCGATTGACAAATATTATTGGATTAATAAAATTTCTCGCACCTGAAATTTAATGGAAAATATTTGTGTAATTACACTCTACTTTTTTTAAATTTAAGCAAAAACTCATTACTTAGGACTTAGGAGGAAACATTTCCAATCCATTGAAAACTGATATTTTGTTTTGCATGGAGACACTTTAAATATCTAGAAAACATTAATCTTCAAATTTGTGATGTTGATTCCTTGCGACTATTGGCTCTTGATAGAACTTTGGAGGTCAATAGTAAAAAATTCAAAATGTTTTTGTAAATAATTTGGAGAAAAGTCCGTTTTTGACATTATTGATTATTTTGTTGCAATTAAAAATTACTAGTAGGTAGATTCTATTTTATTTTTTATATTTTATAGATACTTATTACCAAATGATAAATGTTCATTAGCATTTCTTCTTTCTTATACTTGGAATAATTTTTAAAATCTTTTGAGTCTTTCTGATACAATTATTAACATTGGTACGCCTCAAACCTCTCGCTACACAAAGATCTTAAAATTGAAACAGTCTCTAAAACAGCTTAAAATTGAAACAGTCTCTAAAACAGCTTAAAACTACTACAAAAATTTCCACACCAAAGCAGTTAACCACACTAATCCATTGATTTCTAACTTAACCAGTGAATTCATGCCAAATAACCCCTTACGTCGATTAGAAAGACACTGGTGTTGAGATCTCCTAAATCTTGACCTGCATTAATTAAAAAACAAAAATAATAAAACTCTCTACCCCAAGTTAGAGGGTATCCACACTGGTGGACTTCCCTCCCCACGCCATTTCACGTTATATTTCCACTTATATTATCAAATTTACTTATGTATTGTATATAAATATTACAGATTGTAAATATTATATTTTATCAAAAATAAATGATTAACATTCCAACATTCGACATTTTGATTTTTTTTTCTATAAATAAAAAACATTATCTTGTAAAAAGCTTAACAATTTTGCTTAATAAATGTTTTAATAATTTAAACCTTAATAAATGTTGTTAAAAATGTATGAGGTTCAATTTTTTTTTTTATAACTAAGACTTGAAAATTGAATATAGGTTCTTCAAAGTTCAAACACAATTTTTTTGTAGACATTTGAAGATTAAATTTTCTAGGATAAAATTAGTGATTCAAATGAAGAAGAACAAAACAGTTTAGTTAGGTATTTTATTGTAATTCAAAATTATTGTCCTTGAAGGCTGTTATCTTTTATGTATAGAACTTATTAAATTTTACACATTAGAAAAAATGTCACAGTTTCAAAACCTTTTGATTAATTTTATGTTTCTGTCTATTTATATCACAGACTTATTCAGTTTTCACACTAAGGGGGTATTTGACTCAAAAGTTAAATCAATGACAACAATTTCAAGTATATTAAAAATTATTATAAGAACAAAATATTTTTTGAAAAAATGAATTATTCACTTACCATAAAGTAATATAAATTTATCAATAAATAAACTTAGTAATTACCTATGTAATTGCTCCAAATTGTTTTTTGCATGCAAAATTGCAATGATTTATTATTGAATTCCAATGTAATATATTATCCATTACTCATTAGTCATTATATATTATACAGTAACTTACAGTTCAAACCCTCAATACAATATACAAAGCAAAGCGCCTAACCTGGGTATTAATTGTGAAATTATGTTTTAGGATAAACATTTACAAAGTCGCTGTTTATAATTTTTTTTATTTATATTTCAGTTTGTGGATAAATTATACAATATTTTGGAAGTAATATTTACTATTTAGCTAGACGTTTGAAATTACATACAAATATGTGTATCATAAACAAATGACATATTATTGAACATTAATTTAAGATTTCATACTTTTAGACTTTAAAAACAAAGTAATTTTCAGATAGCAAGATAACATATATTTAAAAAAATGTTAACAACGTACATGTACATCTAGAGACAAAAACTTGAATAATTACACATTAACCTACTAGAAGTGTATTATCGTTAATGAATTTATAAGGTGGTACTTCCATGTTTGTTGGTGCAGGTCCTTTACGAATCCTACCAGCTGCATCATAATGTGAACCATGACACGGGCAGTAATAACCACCCCAATCTCCTGCGTTGGCAATTGGTACACAACCTAAATGAGTGCATACTCCAACAATTACCAACCATTCGGGCTTTTGAACTCTGACAGAATCGTCTTCCGGGTCTCTGAGTTCAGCCAGAGAGGTATTTTGCTCAGCTTCGATTTCGGTGGTTGTACGATGTCTAACAAACAAGGGCTTTCCTCTCCACTTGATGGTTGCATTCTTACCCTCCGGTATATCATTAAGGTTAACTTCTATGGACGCCATGGCCAAGACATCGGCAGCTGGTGCCATTGACAAAACAAACTTGTGAACAATTGCCTTGGCGCAGAACATTGTGCCAGTGACGGCAGTACCCAAAACCATGTAAGTAAAGGCATTTCGACTTTCATATGTGTCGCGGTTAGAAGCATTCGGATCCTTCACAGAGTTACGACGGTAATCGGTATAATCTGGAATCTTGAAATCGGTGTGGACCAAACGAATTTGGGTCGCGGTGACTGAAGTTAATGCTTTCTTGGACAACAGATTACTTTGCAAGGTGAAGTTGGTCAGGTAGATTGGCCTAGGCGGCACAATTTGTTTAGACGGTTTACCTGGGCACGGCGCCTTGGTGGATGTGGTCGCCACGACTTCGGTACATCCTTTCACCGCAGTAGAAATATTACGGAACATGATTAATGAACTGTAAGTTTTAACCTACTAGGTATTAAAAAGAAAATGTAAATTCACCACAGCCGACGAAAAAAAAAGGTCGAAAAGGGCTGACCTTACTTGATATTTCGATCTATTATCACCGAATTCATATGGTATATTGGTATCGTGATAAATATATGGTAGCAAGCTGGTAACCTTATTATTGACTGCAGCTGTATACCACGATAACAGTAGTAGGGCCAAATTAGTTCCAAGGACTGCTGATTTTTGCACATCATTATCATTTATTTATTATATGGGTTTTTGCAAATTTTTTGATTATACATTTATTATTTTCAATTTTGATCATGATTCCAGATTCATGAACTAACTACTAGAAACTAAAGATATCCATACTGTTGAAAAATTAACATTTTAACATTTTTTAGCATTGACATCGATCCGGGTAAGGGGTTCAACCCTCCCCTCGATGGACACTTGACCAATATTTATACCTATAACTAGTCTTACTACTTACATATAATTTTAATTCATAATATATATTGTTTATATTAAATTTAAAAAAGTTAAACCCTTCCATTCAAAATTCCTGAGCGCAACTCTGATTAAAGATATTTAAATTATATCTTATTGTATGGTCACATATTATAATAAATGCATACTACTTAGTCTATCGTTAAATATTTTTTTGTAATGCATTACGTTTTTGAGTAGAAAAATCCTGTCATTTTCAACTTTAAAGATGTTTTTAGGTCACTCATTTTTCAATAGTTTTTAATGTATAAGACAAATTAAATTCATATTAAATTTGATGGTTGATGAATAATATTCATAGACATAATGTAATGTTTCTATTATGAGATGGACCATTTTATAATTTTTGGGACTTTATTATTATCATAACAAACGAGACTAAAATCACAGAATTATTTTATTCTGTGCTAAAATAACAAACTATAGTCAAATTAGATATAATATATATTGTTCTGTGTTTATATAGATGAATATCTTACTTTGTGACTAAAATTATTGTATCTATTATTAACATTCATCAAATGAAAAAACATAATATTATTAGAACAATTGGTAATTAATAGTATTAAAATTTGTGCAAAGTTGTTAAAAATTAGATCAACGGCAACCTAAGGTGTAATTCGAGTAGAAAAATGAATTACAAATAATAATATAATTAATACACCAATTAAGAAATTAAATTAAAAATAAAGACTAAAGATTTTGATTAAAGCCTTTATATGATTATTTTATTATAGGAATGAAAAACAAAATTTAAAACAACTTTTAAATTTGTTGTATTAGATAAATAATAACAAATTACATTAATTCACAGTTAGTTTATTTAAAATTATAACATGCCTAAGATTATAACAACATTTTAGTTACAAGTTTATATAATTTATGGAAACATGAAATTTAATATTTCAGTATAAAAAAAAAAATCAGATAAATTATAAAATAAATGGCAGTATAAAACTGATTCAGTATCATAAAAAAAATTAATACAGTTTAAATATATACCTAAATTACCATGTAATATGATGTTAAACTAAAAATGTCTTTGGCAGTTTGATACAGCACAAGATGCAAAACATATTTATACATTTTTTTCTTCAAGCTCTTTAATGTATTGAATCTTAAATTCTTCAAATTCTGCCTTTAATTCCTATACAAATAAATATAATGATTAATCACCAAATAAAACATAAATACATAAAATAAATAATCTTAAGGCTTAGATATAGATAGTTTTTCAAAAACAGTTAAATATTTCACTGTTATACATTTATGTAAAAGAATACACTACATAACAGTGTTGTAATATCAATACTAATACAAAACTAATTATATCTGTACAATTTCACAATTAATACTTTAAAAATGCATAATTGTAGACTTTAAAAATGTTATTATTATTTGTGTTTAAGCAACGAGTAAAATTATGTTATTATTACCGTAACTAGGGTGGATCGATCCCATATTTGTAAATACTGACTAATTTTATTATCGAATAAGGAAAATAAATCAATAATTCCGTCATCAATATTATAGGCGTCTAGTTGATCCCAAAATGGCATTACATCTTTGCATATGAATGTGCAAAATGAGGTCTTATCAACCTTAAGTTCTTGTTTGGGAATGACTGGTGACAACTCTATACATAAATAATTTTAATTAATATTTTTAACAAAATAAGTTTTCAATAAAAAAAGATGAAATTTAAGGAAAAAATAATAAGTTTTAATCATAAATATTACTAACCTAACTGATTACTTTCATTAGGTGTAGGACTAGGTGAAGTTGACCGGTCCACCCAGACCATAGAATGGTTGCTATCATTACTACTTTCATCAGCTACAACTAAAAATATATATATATTTAATTGCTTGATAAAATATAAATAAAAAACAAAATGTTTGCTAACCATTATGCTAAAAGAAGCCTAAAATATAATTCAATTAAAAAATCATTAATCTTTCATGCAGTCAAAACATAATATTTGTTTTTTAGTACTTACGACTTTCAATTCCATTAATTGTGTGATTACTAGTATTCTCATTGACTGTATTGTCATCATGGTCCTGAATCAATTGGAGTAAAATATTAGAATGTGATAAAGTAATACAATATTAATTAAGTATTAATTAAATTAACAAAAATAATATACTTTGGAATTTTTTGAGTATTTTTTCTTCTTAGGTGTTAAGCCTTTTTGCCACATATTACGACGTTTTTTTCTCCTGCCATTATTATCTTCAATATGATCTGAAAAAATTGTTTTTACTTATTTATTACATACAAATGGACAAGATTGTATCCATAAGTATATTATGTTGTTTTAGGTGAATATATTCTTGTGTTCAAGGACAACATTTTATTTTTATAGCAACATTGTGGGTATTATAAGCTTTGCAATAGATTTAAATAAGGTGTTAAATTAAGAGTCAAGCAATAAAATAAATTATATTCTTAAAGTATACTATGTATTAACTTGAAACTAAATTTAAGTTTAAATAGTTACAAAATTATAAATTCTGTAGAATTTATTGCAGTTAAAATATATTGTATATACTCTGTTCAAAATAAGAAACACCGAAGGTGGCAATCAGTTTTTGTCTGTGGCAGTCAAGTTAACACTACTTTGTCACCCCTGTCGAGACACCAACCTATATACCTGCCATGTAGTATAGCCATACTCCTGAGCACTAGTCGGCTGCTGTAGGCGATTCTTATTTTGAACAGAGTATAGTAATAAATATAGTTTACAGAAATAATAAATAATTGGTTTTTCAAAAAATCAATCTCTCAAACCAATTTTTACAGAATTAATACCAACTGTACAGCATAATCGGTGTATATTTTGTGATAAATAAATAATTTAAAAGTATAGAATGTCAATTATTTCATATATGTTTTAGAGGGATCAATTATTCAGTCAAAAATAATACTTTATAACTGAGCTCAGAACATATATAATTTAGATAAATAATTACCATCTTTATCTACTATTTGATCTTTCTTAATTGTGTGTACAAAATCAGGAACACAAGTTTGTTCAATCTCAGTAGCATTGCGCTTTTTGCGCTTATCTCTGATATCCCGACAAGTATCTTCAAAATCAGAGTCCATTTCTGCTTTGATAAAAGCATATGCTTTATCTCTTAAAGAACAAGCTCTATGTCTAATATGTTTATCTTCTGCACTTTTATCTGGATTGTACTCCAATGCGTTTCTTACAATAAGATCAATATCATCTAAAAAGTCTCTGGCACAAATGTAGCTATGTTTATCAATTTTACTCATAAGAGTTTCTAAATCCATAGGCTCCTTGATGATATCTAAATAATCAGGTACTTCTTCTATGTCAACTGGCTTTGTAAACATGAAAAATCTGTAAAAAAGTTATAGACCCATTAGTTGGTATCATTTACTATCTAGAAATTTGTTGGTCCAAACCAGTATAGCTAAAATTATACCGCACCAGAATAATGAACCATATAAATGATACGGTAACAAAACAGTTATCAATTTACCAGAAAGAAAGGGAGTATCCATGGATTTTAAACTATTATAATGTCTAAATGTCACCATAAACATTTATTAAAAAGAGTATTACTTGATGGGTTATACAAATAGTTTCTGAAATGTGATAGTTATAATTTTTGTACCAATTCCTAAAGCTAGATTAAAATAATGCATTATGAAAATTAAATTGTTATGTCATAGTTGTGAAAGTATTTACAGACTACATAGTAAGTATACATGTTTGGCGTTTGCTTAAATTATAATATAAAAGACACATTCATAATTTAGATTTTATTTTTGTTATCTGTAATTTATATTTAAAATACTGAAAAGAACTTTCTCATAAAAACTACAGTCGAAAAAAATTGACTTAATCAAAAAGTACTTACTGTTTATTCCGAGCAAGTTTGGCACAAATATCTCGTAAAAATATTCTGAGTTCTCTTAATGTGTTTTCTTCTTGACAAATAATATTTTTTAATTCGGATTCACTAAGTTTTGGAGGACTAGGTATAGGAGCAATTGGTAATTCTTCTAATGATTGATCATTAACTATTATAGGTGGTGTAAGGGCTTTATCAAGTAACAGAGTGAATAACGATTGTACAGCTTTTTCAGAAGGACCGGGAATAGAGTATTTTCGTTTATCACCAGAAAATATATATAATATCTGTAAAAAAAAATGAATAGTAAATTATACTACAACTTTAACTTAAAGTTGGGATATAAAAGTTTTATTATTGCATGCAATTTTTACTTCTTTAGGCAAATCCTTGAAATCATAAAGTGATGTTGCAAATATGAACACAGGAAGAGTAATATCTAATGACTCCAATAATTCTAAGAACAGCTTTTGTAGTGAAAATGTTAAACTGGTCCAAAATTCACCTATATTTGGAATAAATAAAATTGCAGGGAGATGTTTGGGAAGCTCTTTAAAAATCTGAAACAAAATAAAGCAATATTCAGTAAAGCACTTAACAAATGGATAATGTAAGGAATAATTTAATATACATTTAATTATTACTTAAAAAAGTATGGTTATTAATATAATAATCATTAAATTATATACATTACAATTCTGAAAGTGAAT